TCTTTCGCGTCTGAGTTTTTGCTCGCACTGCTCGTCCCTATTTCGTTAGCACCGTTTTTTATATTTCACCGGCACAATCTGTCTCTTTGCTGCGTCCATGCGTAGGTAGTTGAATTACGTTTTCATAGAGCAATGTAAATTTTGCACGTCCCAGCCTTATACACACTAGCGTTAATTTTTAGGGAAAACTTATTATCTTGAATGACAAATTAATACAAAAATCATTACTGAAATTCTAGTATTTAATATCATTTGTGAGAAAGAAAAATATGTTTTGAATTTCAACGGTATAATCTGCAGCTCTACGTAGATAGTTAAAATATATTTTTATAGAACAATGTGCATTTTCCACGTTATTATATATAAGATTATACATTAATTTTAAAATTAATTATTTCAAAGGAGGAGTTAATGCAATGCAAAAATTTTTATATCTAAAATTATTTGGAAATTATTGAAAAAAGAAACATCTTTTTTATTCTCATTGGATACATTTTAGTACAATATTTAATAATTATTTATTAAAATTCAATCGAGTCATATTTTAGTCATGTTAATACATGAATATTATTATGTAAAATTAACTTTTACATGCGTGTGATTTTAATGCGTGCTCCTTCTTATTATTATACGTCATTGTATGTTGATCAGAAAAGTACATTCGATACATCGCTTTCGAAGAATTGTGCACTTAGAGACATTGAATGTACATATTGACAATTTCAAAATGGATTTCTGAAAGCTTAAGATTATTTGCTTGTGTGACTTTTCACGGATGGTAGTAAATTGCATGCCATAATCACGAGGAGAAAAAGGAAAGAAGAAGCACGAAGAGAGATCTGATGTTATGATGGCTAGCAAAAGTATGCGAAAATGTAGAAATTTGACGTAAGTTGATAAATCGATCTTTTCACTTTAGTATATAAGTGTATCCCGCTTGGGAATCACATATATATACAAATATTCCTTCGTACTTTACATTGAAAATGCATTTGTAGAATGTAGGAAAAATATATATAGGTCGATATGCACGCGAGCAAATCTTCATGAATACTGAAAGTTTTAAACGTTATTTTATAAATTATTGACCTAGTATTACTGTACATAATTTTAATAAAAATTTCTAACAACTTTTCTAGCTAATTGTATTTCTTAATTAAAAGCTTATTATTAAACTAATTATAAATTTAAATTAATTTATAATGTTTAATTATGTTTCTTAAACGCGTTACTTTTTAATAAGCATCAAAATACAGTTACTGAATCTTGAAAATTATTTTAATGATTAACTTTTTATCGATGCGAAGGTATTCTTTTGCGAGTTAGCAGTAAAAATACAATTGGACATCTCTTATTTTTTAAAGCTAAAATCAAATATGCGCTTTTCATTAACGTTGGATCAAACGTAACTGCGCGTCATAGGAACAAAAGCCGCGTCACGGTTCTTGTGCCTGCACCTTTGCCCCTTTTCATCTCAACTTTAGTATGTCAGGCACGCGTGCAAAACTCAATGAAGCCGTTTTTATGGGAGAATACGCATTTTCATTCTACGTGTTCGGTATTTCAATATCGACCGCATCGTCGCTAATATAATACGTTCGAACGCACACTGCGTTTATGTAGAATGTAAATCAATCATGTGTACCTTTCTTTCTATGCGGTCTATGCGGTGATCCATCGAATGTTATCGACAAAATATGAAATTTACGTTGAAATCAGAGACATTGTAATCGGTATGAATTTTTTAGTGAATTCGATTCTTCATGTGCTATAAAGGAAAATAAATCTTTCGCTCGTTTCATTGTCGGAGGATCATTTTTTACACGTTCGTATTGAAATTCAAATCCATTTACATGATTCGGATCGCAATCCCTTTAATCGATCGAATTGTGGGTACTCATTCTGGAAGCTCAGCTGTGCGAATTACAAACGAGCAAGGCATGAACATCTGACGAAAAGGGTGCGAGGGGTGTTCTTTTTTTTCCAGGTGTCATGGGTGAGACACAGGGATATCCATCTTCTCACCGTGGGCGTCGAGACATATACATCGGACCAGAGATTCGTCGCGTTACATTTTCCGCACACGGAGGACTGGACGCTACAAGTAAAATACCCTCAACGACGAGATTCTGGCACATACGAGTGTCAAGTATCCACGACGCCGCCCATAGGTCATTCCATGCTCCTTTCTGTCGTCGGTGAGTTCTACCTCTCTCTCTCTCTCTCTCTTGTTTCTCTTTTCATCTTGTTTTTCACCGCACGAGACCGTCGTGCTGATTTCACCGCGACGCGGAAATTCATACTATATCTGTTTGCTTGTTGGAAGCTTAATGTGCACCGCACGTGCATCGCGATACTCACGGAATTTGCTGCACCACGGCGGTTGATTCATTGTATGACTTAATCATTCGCGGGAAATGTTTCTCAATGGGACACGCACACACACATACGCGGCTCCTAGATATTTTATTACTATCTTGTCTTCACGATCTGCTTCACATCGCGTCGACGAATTCAACCGGAAGAATTAAATTATCGCGAGGAGATACGGTTTATGAAATCGACTTCTTCCTTTCCGTAAGATTTTTACGAAGCTCGTTGAAGTTTGTACGAAGCTCGTCAGACAGATTGCACAGTTTCCGGGAACTTCGCGAATTACAAATTTCTATCATTATGCATGCTCGCTTGTTCTGCGGATAGTAACTTTAATCAGCTTCTATAATTTTGAACTTAATATTAACTTAATATATTAACTATTTAATGTCAATCTTCCTTAAAGTTCAGATTCATATAGAAATTAATCCAATATTTAATATTATATAAAAATTGACTATCAAAAATATTTTGCGATAAATCTTTTTTTAACGTTCTGATAACAGCAATTATTATACAGAGAGATAGATAGATAGAGAGGGAGAGAGAGAGAGAGAGAGAGAAAGTATAATTTTTCACGTTAGTGACACATTAATATTAATCTTTATCCGTATTATTATTATTATTAGAAACATTTGGTATTATATGTTTGTTTATATATAATATTGATGTTTTCATTC